AAGTGATAAGAAGTGATAATGACGATATACGGTCATAGGGATCACTTAAAACCAAAGACAAGATAGGAACCAGATTCATTTTATTTCTACTTCATCGCGTTTCATCGTCTCAAACTGGGCAGAGTACCACATTCCCAAAAATTTGGGCAGAGTAGCGGTCAATTTGACCGCTAGGTACTTCTATTTCAACACCATTACCATCAAATATCATACGACCGTTAAATTGCCCTGATAGCGTGGTGGCTGCTTACATACACCACTTTAGCTTTGATCGTATCACACTGTAAGCTTCAGCAAAAATGGGGAGGCTGTAGGAAGGACAGTTAAAGCATTTCCCGATGGAACTGAGGGGGTGGGACCTACCGTCCCACAGACTATCCAGTTTCGAAAAACCTACCGTGTCACATGCGCGTTAGCGGAGCTAAGCTGGTTATGTTTTAGGTCAGAAAGATGTTGCGCTTTTCGACCATAAATTTTAATGCCTGTATCTCGGCTCATTCGAAACCTTTTTGATTGAGTAAAGACTGTTAGAATCCACAAACCTCTGCCAATAATAGCTGCGTTGAATCAGCCCGGTAGTGCAGAATACTGGAGCTCTAGAGACGATGACCCTGGCGGAGGTCGTTTCAGCATCGTGTTGCGTTTCGAAGCATAACTCAATTGGCACAAAACATCCATACGGTTGAAAGGAAATCAAAAAGTACTGACTTACTTGCCTTATTAGTATTTATTTTCCTTCATAATGAGGAGTGCTGGTCGAATGTGCAGGAGGGGTTATTTTGGAGTATTGTCAAGAGTATTTTTCCTCATTAACAGTCCCACCTGGTTCCAAGAAGCTAGACTAGCCGATGACCTCATGAAATTCATCAACCTTCCTTTAGTACAGTTTCAGTTTTGCAAAGTTGTGGGAGCCTGATTGTGATCGATCCTTTAGCAAAGGTACGTACGCTGTAGCAAAGAATCTGCTCTTTATCGCATGTCCAAATGGTAGGGAAGCAGGTCGTTTTCATGGCATAAAACAAGCTAGAAAGCGGCGAACGACCCTTCAAAATGGTGAGTTGTCGCGGCACGCCCTATTTGAATTTTGGACTTTCCAGCTCTTCCCGTACAAGAAAGCCACAGAGCAAGTGCGATCAGTTTAGGAGGAACCTTCTCAATAGTTTGTGCAAGCGTGCTTCAACCAGAACTTTGGCTAATCGTTGGCATTGTCCCATATCTGACCACCCCTCATTATCTTTAGTGCTCTCGCTATTTTTAAAAGCTTTTACAACGAGTGTTTCAGACGGATTCAATGCAAATCCCAGCCAAGTGCATCCTAGAAAACTTGACCTACTCCTGCTCCCTACAAACCTTTTTAAGCTAAAAAAGAACATCATGGAAATCTGCTCTTGCCGTAATCAAGGCTTCAAAAATGTACCCAAATGATGAAAAAGGGGCTGACTCCTCGCAGATAGTACAAGAAAAGCCCTTCAAAATGATACACAGCAGGAAGGTAGCTTTCGTGAAGTCGAAACAAAATAAAGCGTTCATAAATGGAACACTGAGAAGCCCAAGAACTTTCTTCACCAACTAATAGTAGAATAATGGGGATATTGAGTCATGAGTCAGTGCCGATTTTTTCTTATCCGCGCCATGTTTTCAGAAAAAGGCTTGTGCTGTTCCTCGCAAAGGCCTATGTGGCGACCTTGGTGTCCTTTCATAATACGGAATTCGACCGTCAATACTCGTCTCTATGGAGAAGTAATGACGTCAATTTCAACATGTGTTCGTCACTGCCGATTTTACGAGCTCCATACGTCGAGAAGAGGAGCCTATCGGATGGATTTGGAGGGCCATAAAAGAGGGATAAAGCATTTGCCGTTGATCAATCCCTTTTTGGGATGCGGCACGCATTCTACTTCCATTTGTACATTCGCAGTGGCGTTTGAATGCGATGTGGCCTATACAATGACTTGCGGGGGCCAGCCGATGTTCAAGTCAGTGTTTTTTATCCTCCCAGACAAGTCTGGTACCAATTAACCGACCCCGGAGGGATGGAAGGCTTGGTTGGCCCGGGACTCACGACCCAGGATTTGATCCCGGACCGCTCGCGTGGTAAGCGCGCCACTTGTCACTGCACGCCACTTCCGCCCTAGCGGCACTGCATAGGAGGACCATATTTGCTAAAAAAGAATGTGTGTTGGAAGTGGTTTGGGAGCCTTTGCCAGGGCGACTACGGCGCTTCAGACCAACCACGTTTCGACATTTAATGACCGTGAATATTGGACGCATCCAAGAGCTTTCAGAAGCAGCCTATGCGTCAGAACCCAACAAATTGCAGTGGGCTTCTTGTCCTCTCATATCACCATGACTCGTGCCCTTCGAGTCATACGGAAGTTGTACACGGGAAAATGGAGTCCACACGAATTCAATGAGGTTGCTCAAGGACATGCGTGATCATCAGCCAATGTTGACTGTCTTTATGTTGTAATCAGATCGGCTTAACAAGAGGGCGCTGGGTTGAGAAGTGCGCAATCTATCCAAACAAGATATCAGTGGGAACGTGCAGCTCAGCAGCGACAACGAGCCTCCATGGGTGAATTCATCCGGGGCTTCACCCTCGCTCTCTAATTGCCATTATAGCCTTAAAACAATGCCGCCACTGCTAGCACAACACCCACTGCTTACAGCTGGATAAACTCAGTTCAGAGTTGAGGCTTACAACACACACAATTGCCCCATTGCGCGGAAGATGGCAACGCACGTGTAATGAGGAAATGTCAGGATACTATACAAACATGTCTTTTATTCTCAGCCTGTTCGGCTGAGATTAAAAGATCACCTGTTGTCCCGCTGCTGCTGTTCCCTCAACGAAAAAAACCACTATGATCGCGAACACCTTGACAGACGTCCACTGATTTTTGACGTCAGAGATTGCGTAGTTCCACGATAACTGTGTCAAAATGACATTGTTCTTTTGACAATCCAGCAACTAAGGATGCATGTCTGAGCTATTTAATGCCCATATCTGTTGTCCAACTTCCTCCCTGCTGAAGGTCACTTTTTTCAATCACTTCATTCATGTGAACACGTAGACCATAAAACATGCCTCCTAACCAACTCTCCCTAGGAATCCTTTCTCAGAACGGTTTTAGCATGTAACTTTTGGTCCGCGCAAAATTTTTTCGAATGAGTAATGACAAAGACTGCGTGGCAACTGCACGTCTGCGTTCGCTCCTTTCCGCCCCCAGCAGCAATTGACCTGACCCTTGGCGAGGAGTTCCTCGATCGTTTTTCACCCTTCTAGGAGTCTAGGTGTGGGTGTCGCACACATGTGAGCACTTGGTACAATTGAGCTCTTGAAGTATTTTGGGTATTTCACGTTTTTTACTTTTACAGGCTTTTTCGTCTGTTCTTGGAAAGGATCTCGCAAAAGAGACAACCGCTGTTGTCAAACAAATGTTCCAGAACGTCTCCTTCAAAGATTCGGTGAGAATGTGCTGTTAATTTGTAGTCGCTGATTTGTATAGCGCATCAATTCGAGAAGAGGGAGAAACAAAGATTTTTCAAAGATTTCTATAAAGGCAGCTAGTGTGTCGTCTTGTAGAGAAATATTAGTTCTTTTGTGCTTAGGGGAGGCTTTAAAGCGTTCGTCGGATCTCGACTAATTTTGCTTTATAATGTGCCGGAGGTCGGTGATACCTCAATCGCATGTTTGAAGAAGGCTAGATGGCAGGGTCAGCACCTTATGATACTTCTCCAGCAGCCGCACAGAAATTGAGATGCCATACAATGGTTTTCCCGGGCATGAACCCGAGTTCTTCTTGGGGGTCGAGACCAGCTCCCTCAGCTTTGTGTTAACCGGCCGCCCTTACGGCTTTATGGTATGCGCCATCAACCTGATCTGGCGGTAGCTCGAGCAGTTCACCACGTAACCCTCGAAGATGGCGACGATCTCTTCTCCAGACATTCGTCACCCTTCCCTCCTCAGTTGCGGTGTTGCGGAATCCGATAAGCCATTCGTCCCGCACTCTCTTAGCTAGTTTCATGCCTACAGCCCATCTAAACAAACCGCCTTCCCAACCTTCATCTTTCCAACTTCTTGACGAATCTCATGCTCTATAGAAGCTTCCAGCCTAGCCACGCGGGTCTTCTTGTGTCGTAGTCCGGCTCTTCACTCAGATTTATTCCAACAGGCGAACAGCGATACAGCAACACCAAAGCTAACAGGCTGCGTCTTCACACTGATTATATACCAAGGAGGATATATATAGGATAGATCCGATACGATGATAAGCTATGCAAGAAAAACATAAAGCTTTTTCCCTACGAACAACATTCTTTTGCTACGACCATTTTTCAATGACAGATTCAAAGATTTCAACGACATCAATGAACTATGTAGAAAGAAGTATATATGAACTAACAAATTATGGGCAACGATAACAAAAGGAATAGAGAAATACGAGATTAGTTCTCTATATGCTCTGCTCAGAGTGAGATGGGACCAGCCGTCGCCTCTACTCCACCTTGTATAATACTTGAGGGTTATCCTTGCGAAAATACTCGTACAAAAGTCTAGCGGGTAAAATTACACTCCGCGAGTGGTGGGCTGAGCACTTCATTGTGTCCTTCGATATTATGAATGAGGATAAGAGTTCTCATGACACGTAATCGATTCATTCAAATTACTTCTGATAAGGACCGGTGTAGTGTGGAAGTACCTGAGGTGCTTTCAGATTTCGGCCTGCTGTGGTCCAAGGAAATGGTCCTGAACCAGGTGTGGACATCCTTCCTAGGCGCAAGGGTGTAGGAGCCCAAAGGACGATCACTTGCCATAAATTGCCCAGGGTGTGAGCACCATTGGTGGGGCATACACCTGTCTCTATCAAAAGTTCACTACCTATAATACTATCCATGGTTAAAGGAATCCTCACGGAAAAATCATGATTCTATTTCAGCCATAAATCACTGGCTTGAGACTCATTATCCACGATAAGAATGAAAAGAACAGAAAAATTGCTTTTGTTTTGGTAAAAAATTCGAAAAATCGAAAGGGCTGCTACGCGTTCAAAGTGCCGCCGGACGTCTTTCACAAATGCTGGCGACGGGGATGCTTCCACTTGGTTCTTGGAGTGCCTTCACTAGAAACTCTTTCTGGCCTTTTGACTTATTGCATTCACATCTTACACTTCTACTCCATCCTATTCTATCGATCGATTTGTCTCTACTCTCCAAAATCGCACGCTTTAACCCGATTCTTTCATTGCGTCGCCTACGTAGCCGCCCAAGGCGGACTTCTTTCCATGCCTCGCCTTTGGCTCCGTGGTTTTACCTTCGATTGTCCATGGAGTGTTTGTTTCTCTTCGAAACCGAATCTTCATGCGTGAAACTTTGTGTGCTGTTTCCAGTGATCACAACTGACACATTCATGTTGAGAAAGAATGCAAGAATTTTCCGCGAAGGATTCTTTTAATGTCCAAAGGAATGTCCTCTGGTCCTACGGATAAGAAAACAGGTAGTGCCCCCAAACGGTGTTTCTTCTACTGTAGTGCTCTCTCCACTTTCCCTTGACTTCAGCTGGCTTTCTCAAGGCAGAGCCATTGCTCCTCTTTGCACCGTTCACCGCCCTGATATCTCGAGTAGCTTGGCGAGTGTATGCCAGTCCGTAAATGAACACTCTTTTAGCATTTTGGCCCTCCAATTTCTCGTACAAGGCGTCCACTTTCGCGTTCTTTGTGTTCTTGATGAGGACTGCTTCAGCGCGACTATTGCAACCACTGCTAACAAGAAGGTCTTTTGGACTCCGCGCCTTCTACACTTATGAGCTTATTTTCTACTTTACAATTGGCGAGACTTTCTTTTTTGAACCACGCTGCCCTGTCTTCCCTAATTCCGCCTCTCGCGTCGCCCATTATCTCCTCGCTGGGATGATCTAAGACGCGCTGCTCCAAGTGCGCTGGACTGGCCCGTGAGGATCTGGAAGGTCCATTTCCGAAACCTCCCATACTTCTCTGCTCTCGGTGCAATTGGAGAGACTTCCTTCGCTGTCGTGACTCCCCTGATTCCGCTCTCGTCTGGCCCTGGTGCATCGTAGCATGATCTCATCAACGTTGCTCCAAGTATTCAGTGGTCCGTGTGGATCTGGCCAGTTTTCTTTCTCAACATGAATGTGTCGCTTGTGATCACTACTAGGGACAAAACACAAATTCACGAAAATTAGGTTTTTGAAGAGAAACAAACTTGCGGATCACACTCAATGGACGGTGTTAGGTGGATCGGGCAGAGAACAAGAGAGCGCATGGAAAGAAGTAAGCCTTGAGGCGGTATCAGGCTGTGGAGACTGTGGCGGGATTTTGACTACGGCTCTGCTCATCACACGAAGCACATTTGTGAGAGCAAAAAAACTTTGTGATGCAGTACGTAGTCATGCAAGATGCGTGCATTTCAAAGGAAAAAAAGATTGTTTTCTCTGATTATGTATGTTGGTTTGCCCTTACAACGTAAACTTCGTAGTTTTGCAAGCATCTAAATTTATTTTCTTCAGCGACTGGAAGTGCTGGAGTACCTCATTGTCCCACAAGTGGGGTTTTGTAATGGTTCTCTGTTCGTTGTAATCGTTCCCGTGAGGGTTGATGATCATATTCGAAGAACCGAATGGCGATCTTCGTATGCCAGCTCAAGCTTCAAGCACACGGTAGGAAGACTTTTGGACACTACACTTATAGACTACACGTATAACACAGGAAATAAATAAAAGGATAAAGCATTTGCCGTTGATCAATCCCTTTTTGGGATGCGGCACGCATTCTACTTCCATTTGTACATTCGTAGTGGCGTTTGAATGCGATGTGGCCTATACAATGACTTGCGGGGGCCAGCCGATGTACAAGTCAGTGTTTTTATCCTCCCAGACAAGTCTGGTACCAATTAACCGACCCCGGAGGGATGGAAGGCTTGGTTGGCCCGGGCGACTCACGACCCAGGACCGCTCGCGTGGTAAGCGTGCCACTTGCCACTACACCACTTCCGCCCTACCACAGGAAATGCTGTTAACAATTCAAACAAAGTTCCATGCCTTCTTATGGAATATGTACTGTTGGCTTGATGTCGTTTTCTTAGGAAATAAGCTATCACGCCTTTTACCTCACAGAGAGACACCCGAAAAAAATGCTGCAAAACCGTATGACGAATTAGCTAACCTGCCTCATGACTAAATTACACAGCAGTATGGCAGCGCACCTACCAAATACATAATGTTTTTTCTACTTTTCTTTTCAAATTGGATAACCATTATCATCAAATCATTGTGAACGCTGACTTCAGAATCGCTAGTTGGGATTGAATAGGTGTACTATCTTGCTTGAAACAGGAACTGCAAAGAGGGCCGTCAATGAGCAAAAAAAGAGGAAAGTCAAGCAAAGCCACTGGAAAGGGTCTGTTTCCCTGAGAGGTGGACCACAGTGCGATGGAGAGACACTGAGCAGTGGTGAGAGGGAAAGCATGGTGAGAGAACGTGGTAAGAAGGGGGGCACAAACTGTTTATGCAACTACAGTAGAACCGGAAGCTTTCGCAGAGCTAAGTCTAAGATCCTGACGCCTCCGTCGAATGGCGACAGCGCTACGACTTCTGTGCTAGGGGTGTTTCTTCACCCTCCAACAAGCTACAAGGGTTTAGTACCGACCGGTGCTCTTGGTGATCATGAACTGAACTCTCAAGCAGTTTAACAAGTTGGAGAAGAGTTATAGGCCTAATAAGTACCCGCATCTTCTGCTTACCGAACAATTTTGCTACCGTTTATTTATTTATTTGTGTATTACATGCTCTTCACATGAATGAAATAAAACGCTTTGTGAGCAAAACAGTAAAGAGGAAAAAGAAAACCCATGAATTCCATGAAGAATGTAATCCGAAAGGGAAGCTATTTTATTTTTTGGCTCTAATTTTTGAAGACACCTGATTTCATTGTGACGCTGCGGTTCTCCGATCTGGTTTCATTCAAATTCCAATGACAATTCTCCTCTTCTTTCCAACAAAAGAAGACGTTTTGATAACAACAAAGAAAATTCTAAATGGCAAGCAACAACAGGCTATGGGGTAGATCTATGAATAACTTTGCGGAATAAGCCAGAGCGAACTTTTTTGAATTTATTTTATTGCAAGAGTACATGTGAAAAGACAAAGAAAAACGATGAGAGCAGAGAAAATCGTTCATGTTTTGAACTGAAACTTAGAGACGGCGCGAGATTGTAAGTCCATCTGCAACATGGTCATTTGGAGTCTTTTGAATACATGTTGAAAGAAAAGTTTTCCTAAACATCATGGGTGGAAACATATTTGTGCGGAGCAGTGCGTTTTGTATATAATCCTACTTATTATAAAGTGCTCCGTCTGTCGTCTGTCGTTCTGTAGCTCCTCGGGATCCCCTGGAGGAGACCGGGTCAAGTGTGGGATGGGTGGGCAAGGTCTCACGAAGTACAAAACACACATCAGCTAAGCGGAGCCCCGCCCACAGTGGGCGTGGCGTGCGTCGAAATGAACTGTACTGACGACCAAGATTTCAAATTCAGTGACAAAACAGCCTCGAAACTGGGCCAAAAAGTGGGTAAAGGTGTGCATTGGTAAGTCACATCGAATTAGGGAGACCCACCCCCGGTGGGCGGGGCGTTCTCCAAAAAAGCAGTGCTTTATGAAAAATTTCATAACTCGGTTGGGAGAAAGCCTACAGAGCAGAAAACAAATTTGTAGGGAGCAATGTCTAAGGTGTTTCCCAGCATACATGACGTGGGCGGAGGCCCGCCCATAATGGGCGGGGCGTGCGCACTGCCTACAATTCACAATTATTCGTTTCAGTAGCCACGGAAAGCTGGGAAAAGGTGTGTAGAGGTCAGAGGAGGAGTGGAGGTTGAGTGTTAGCCTTGAGCGTGGACAGCACAAAAGTGGGCGGGGTTTGCTACCAAATCTATAACTCGGTTCTAAGAAGTCTCGGAGACTTGGGAAAAGTGGCTAGAGGTTGGCGATGCAAACATGATCGAATGCTCTTGGTGAGGCGAGGCATGCCCCTGGGCGGGGTTGTCCACGAAACTCCGTAATTCGATTGAAGAAAGCGCCGGAAACCGGGAAGAAAGGCAGTACTGTTCGTCTGCAGGGGGAGGACTGCATCCGTAGGGGAGGAAGCACGCACCAAAGTGGGCGGAGTTTGCCATAAACCTCGTCGAACGAAGGATAAGAGAAGCTCTGGATGTAAAGCAAGGTGCACCACCGCTCAACAACAAGGAGGAAATGAAGATGGCGAAAATTTTTGGAAATAAAACATGAGGCCGTGCTATGCGACTGGAATGTCATCGTGACTATGTGAAGATCATTCCCCTCTCCACAACACATTGAAAAAGTCGACGTGGCGCTCACTTTCCCATTCTTCTGCTCTCGACCGTCTCGTTCTCCCCCTTCCGCTCCTTCACAACAGGACGCTATTGGTATGGTGCACTTTTCTAACAACACTGTCTGTTGTGTTGTATTGCCCAAAGTTTTCAGTTGATCTAAAGAAGTGTGCCCGAAACTTCTCAGTAAAGTTTTATTGAAAAGTCTTCGATCCACATATATCCTGAATCGAAATTATGAGGCTCAGGAAACCTTCTACTTTATGTTGCTTTGTATTCTAATGCCCTTACGGTGAGCCAAAATTTCCACACTTCTAGTACATGTACAGCGTGTTGTTTGCCGTGGGACTTTCAAGGTCTGAAGAAATTCAACGAAAATTGCTCCTAGAAAACGAACTCTACGGCGATCTTCTTCAGGCAGACTTTGAAGACGTATATCACAATCTTACGCGAAAGGTGAGGCTTTCGCGATCATTTATCTGGAAATATGCAGTATCATTTGCTAAAATATCACAATGAAGAAAGTGCTAGCAAGTCTTGGCTATGACCACATTTCGGAATCTCGCAAATTGTCTAGGTGTTAAGTGCACTACGGTTTGTATATCATTCATGCCGTCAAGCGAAAGCTATTGTGAAAGTCGATGATGACGTTGGATGGAACATCAAACAGGCGAAAGATTTTGTGCTGCATCACCTTGACAACCACAGAATTTATGGACTGCGGTGAGGATGTTATCATAATGAAGGGAATAATTTATTTTCTACATTTTCAGAGACGCCAACAATAAACCAGAACGAACAAACGCATATGAGCAATGGTGGGCTATTTCTATGGAAAGCTTCCCTTTCTCACTTAACTGCCACATTTCTCACTTTTTTTGTGTCTACGGGGTAGGCAAACGGACAAATTGGCCGTGCAAATCAGTATAGCCGGAAAGCCCCAAAATAACAATACCATCATATTGGAGGAAGGAAACAAAAAATCATATCACTCTTTAAAGTGGTCGCTCCTCGCGATGATGCATAAACGAATACATCCTGTGAACTCATCGACCGTGTTGTTAAAGGAGATGTTGCCGAGTATGTCCAAGGCTTTCAACAGTGGCTGCTCAGCGACTCGGTGTTCCAATTACAGACAGACAGACAGACAGAGGCATGGATTCATCCTTCTTCCTACTCTTCAGAATCCAGTGATGACACATCAACCGAACACCAGTTGCTTCGCTTGCTTGTTCGCTTCGTTGAGGAGTAAAACCACAACTACTGGAAATGCCAAAAACGCACGTCCAGCCATTCTTCGCGTCAAGGGTATGCGAGAGGGATACACATTGCTTGCGTTTAGATGTAAGACAGTTGTGGACGTTCTGGTGAACATGGCATTTTATGCAAAGATGGTTCTAAACAAAAATGCGGTTTCAAAACTCGACGTCTAATCGGCATTTACTTGTGGCTCAACTTTGAGAACAAACTTTTGCAATCTTGTTCGTGAAGTCCTCTGGAAAAGCAATCCTTCCAAGACCAGGCCTATTGATTTTGATGGTCAGTCCAACGAACTTACCAATGCTGGCGAAGTAGTTTAGTGTGCTCTAAGATTCGTTTCACAATGTCACGCAGTCAAACAGCTCGTCGGTGCAAAGGAGTGATTGTCTCAAGAAGGAGGGCTGTCCGTCTCGAAATTATTACTTCGAATGTGAGACTGATTCATCAGACAAATCCATAGATATAGAACCCTAGAATTTCTCGTTGAGAATTATTCTTGTTGAGTGACTCGATCAGGACCTGCTAAATTCTTGAGTTTCCTATACGCCAGGCATTAGAATGCATCGAAGACGACAGGATGGACCCAGCACAGCGATGAAATAAAATGGGACAAGATTCTGTTCAGATATTCAAGTAAAACGGTAAAGCTTACCTGGACCTTCGGCACCTCTCTTTCCAAACGTACCTCTCTTTGCTGCCTTGTTGCTTATCGTCACAATAATCCATCGGAACTGATTTGATTCCAGTCTTTTGCGTCAAGTTCTATATGTAGAATTGCTCTCCGAAGCGTGGAAGACTAGTTGTTCTTATAATTAGTTGGCAATCATAAGCCTAGGCAAAAGTCACAGATAGTTTTCGTGGCAGTTTCCAGTTTTCGGTCAGATGTTTGCATATGCTGGAGAGAGTAAGCGGCACTAACCATAGTTTAGTTGATAGCCTCTACCTTTTTTTTGTTGCCAGGAAACTTACGGAAGAAGAGTGGAATAAAACATATTTCCCACCATTCTGTCGAGGACTGGCCTATGTGATTCCGACTGAAGCGGCAGGGAAACTGTTGTCGGTGACTCCTTCTCAACAATTCCTCAAGGTATTTATTCAAAAGCCTTCACAAACAGTAGAAAAGCTGCAAAAGATGCCTCAAGTAACTTCAATCAAGATTTTGCCGAATTCATGCGGAAAGAGTATCGAGGCGTAAGCGAATTAGACCTGCCTAGAGCACTAAAAATATTACATAGTATCATAATCACAAATTTCAATGTTGCTGCCGAAGGGTTTAGTCAGCATTTGGCTAAAGTTCATAAATCTACTCTTAGCAAACCATCCAATGCTCTAATCATTTTGCCTACAATGACTTTAAGCACGCCAACATTCCGTGAACTGTTAGAAGGGGAATGCACGAAGAGGAAATTTGTGTAGGGTACCATTGTTTGACGTCATTTAGCACCTGCTCTAGCAAAACGTCTGGCTCAAAGGTCGCTGATCTCTGGTTGGGCGTAGCCATGAACTCGACTAGATTCCCACGTCGCATCTTCGTGCAAAACCCACCACTGATTTGGGGTTCTCCACGTATTTTTCGAAGTCTTACAGTTATCGAGGTGAAGTGTATCTGCAATGAAACTCCCATCACTAGGGATGCTGATCCTCAATCTTTACTCTATCTTTGCAAATCTATTCTCTGAACGAAAATGTGGAGGATACGGTAAGGATGGTGATTCGCTCGTGATCGTTATTTCGTGCGACCGATTCTCTATGACATGTTCGCTGCTTCAGACAACGCAGAAATGTATCCGATGTGTAACACCGTTTCTGATGGAATGCGCTCGCTCGTGTCTAGCAAAAGTTTTGCCGATCCCGAGCCCAACCTCCTGCACCTCCCTACCTTCTGAACCAAAGCCTCGCCAAAAAGATACATCTTAAATTCTTCGCCGCCCGTCCACCTCCTTTTTTAGTGACGGAACCTTTTTCGTAAACTCCTTCTTTATCGTATTCAGTGCTTAAAGAAGGACAACGACGAGGTGGGAGGTTGAAGTAAGGGAAATATATTAAGGTTGGAAAGAAAGTTCTGCAACACTCTTTCTAAAATTTTCTTTTTTTTGAAAAATTCAATAGGTAACATTTATGACTAACAAATGGTAGAGCATTCTCGAGGCTTCAATCCACGAGGTGGATATAAGTGCTGCAGTCAGTAGTTATCCAAGAAAATTCAAAAAACCTCGACCACTAGTAAATCCATACTCCGAGTCACTGTCTAGTACAAATGTCTCCATAACTATGGATTCGTGTCAAAGACCAACACTATCTGCAATAGCTTCAATAGGCATGTCGTTCACCGCTACAGCGTGTTTCACCTTTACCAGCGCTTTCGATCTTTTGATATTTTTATAAGAAGCCAGCAGCGTCCTCACACTCCATTACAGGTAGGGCTCTTACGGAAGCTCCACTACAATTCTTCGTTATGGGCACCATTGTGTAGGTAGAGGCCTAGGCTGCGAACTCCAGAAGTTGGCCGAGGCAGCTCGTCAGGAGCCCTCGTACCGCGATTGTAAACAAAAAAGATAAAATTAAAAACAAAAATTTGAAAAAGTGTTGCAGGACTTTCTTTCCAACCTAATACCTAATTGAATGTTAGTCGGCCGGCACCTTAAAGCAACAGTCCAGGCAGGGTTTCAACTACTTGGTCATTAGGCGGTCAAAACATGCCCCAGCCCAACTAAAGTTTATAGGAAATGTCTTTAAGTTCAAAACCTACCTCTAAAATGCGCTGGAAGGGGTCGAAGTCCTCTTGGAGGGGGCGGATCACCCATACCGAGGCGGATCGCTCAACATACGCTGTGCAGAGTCCGTGCTTGACTAGCGGTCGTTGCGGGACCGCCGCTTTATGTCCTGCCCCGGACGTTTTCTACTTTTTCTTTCTTCATGGGGACCACTTCTCACTTGGCAACTCAGTTATAGTAGTCTTACCGCGAATCCGGTTCCTGGATTGGTTGCTTTAAGTGTCTTGTTCTGATGTGAGGAGAGTATTGCTCCAGTGCCTTGCTGGAGGAGGCCGTACCCACGCCGCTCACGCCTCTACACGCCCGTAGATGTGTAACTTTTGCCGTATGACTCCCTCTCTTTAGCGGCAAAAGCATATCGTGGAAGAGGGCGATAGCGATCAGGTACATTATTACGGAACTCATTTGTCGACAAGGGGGTCCCATTTTTCAGATTTTGGGTCATTCCTCTTGATTATTGCTTAGCCGTACACCACTAATCGCCTCCAACATAACCTAAGCTGTTATTCGTCGTCTCTGCGTTTTGAGCACTGCTTCGGATAGGCCGACTTGGATTCAAGTCAGGCAGCATCCTTTATGCTTGAAATTGTTGCTTGTCGAAAAATCCTTCAGTCTCAATGGCAATTCGAACTGCAGAACGTGTGAAAGGCAATGCAAGATATTTTTGATTCTTCTCTCTAAAAATATTTTTTTAGCTCGAAGACGTTTTTGTCACAGGAGTTCTCAGTGAAGCAGCAAACATAACGGTCACTCACCTAGGAGGCGACCGTATAACACTTGCTAAAAGAGATCCGAGGATTCACAAGAAAGTGGATTTCACGTTTTTCAAGATCGACAAAGTACATCATTTGTATTGGTTTTTGAAGATCAACAGTGATATGTTCAGCGAAGATGCAGAGAGCACTCCTCTCTAGCGTTACATTTATTCACGTGCTGTGACGGTACTGTTGCTTCTGCAATTGAAAAAGAAGCTAGTATAAATGTTAAGTTAACGCGAAAAGCGTATCTGTAATAAAACGTCCTTGAGTTGATATTGCGCCAATAGTTGACATAGGATGCAGGCTGTCTATGTATTATATGTATTATATTACTTCACCAACTACAGTACTCGCTGACTCGCGCTGGAACTAGATCACTGCACGCGTCGAATTGTTGTACCACTCGTTTGCTAGCCTGCCTTCTATTCTTTGCAACCCACAATTTTTCAGGATGAAACATCGAAATTCTCTAATCTAAATTCGCGTGTGGTGAACTGGTTTTAGGTGGCAGGGACTCGCGGGGGTTTCCCTGAAACTGCCATCGAATGTTTCCCGTGTTTCACCAGTTTCATGTAATCTCCTCTGTTTAAATAAATTTTTCCATTTTGATGCAGTATGCCTAACCGATATTCACTGTAGTCGAGCAAGTTACCTCTTCACCTCCTACAGTGTCGTTATCGATGTGATATCAATGTCTTCCTATGATCGCTTACATGAGTGAGCCTAGAAAGCCACTCCACGATTGTACACACACGGCGATTCCATAAAAACTAAGCAAGTATGGGATACTGATGAGGGCCTATACATGATGCCGCTTGCGGCCCATTGTTGGCCGCAATTTGACGACCAGCAACGCAGCAAATTGTCACCTTTTCTCATTGAATGTTTGAAGCATCACTATGCTTTTTAAACACCTTGAAGAGACGCTAAGGTCGTGCAGTACCGGAGCCTCATGTCGATTTGAATGTTCATGCTCAGTGAAACTATAGAAATTATCACCATAAATAGAAAGAAATCGCTGCCTTGACACGCTGCAGGAGGACCTGAAATTACTTGGCCTTCATTCCGACTGAACCCTGAGTCGGCTATTTAGTTATCATACCAGAAAAGCCGGCACTGTTATAAAGTGGGACAAACGCTCAAGTAAGAAGAAGAGCACGAAAGTATTACATTACTAATTATCTCCGTACCATTGACATCATGAGAAATCAATACACTGCGTTCCATGAATATGGGTCCACCCTAAATTTTTGCTATTGCAAAGTTGCTGTAAGATCGATTGAAACCTTCCTCTAGATTTCCATGATTTCTATTTCATTTCAAGGAGCTGAATGGTGAGACGTGTAGTCTCTGCGCCGAAAATCCCATTCTCTTGAGTTCGAACGAGAATCTTAGATCAGTTTTCAGCAGGACTAGCAGTCTCATTTTGTGACATTTCCCAATTTTCCAAGAGATTTTTTGGAGAAACCTGAGGAGATAGCGACGAAATCTCTTCACTTCCTACACTACGCTTCACTTGTCTGTAGGAATTATATGAAAACTTGGTCGCAGGTGAGCGTTCTTCCGTGGTGTGGCCCCAAACATCACTCCTCGTCATGCCCTTGTGGAAAGATCAGATTTTTTGCTTTTCCAGATGAGCCTTTGAAAGTGAGATGTGCACTGTTAGATTCCCCATGAAAAGTACTATCGAATGATATGTTGCACTGCCCGCATGGTAAGCTTTAGTTATCATTTCGTGCGCTTCTTCCGCTCTTCAAGCATGTTCTGTATCGTATCGTTGTCCAATAGCTCCAAGCTCTAACACACGAATGCACAGTCAGTCTCATGCACGGTTTCGCGTGCACTCCAAGCATGGTATACTTCCTCGGGTGCTGTTTGGTCAATATGACTACGTTATCCATTCATTCGTGTGAAGGACTGAGGGCAAGGAAGGAAAGCAGTCATGCCGAGACAATACGCCGTGTACCAGTTCGCTATTTGGACCTCGTCGATAGACTTCAATTAGAACCTAGTTGAATGGGCAGCTCAAACACTGCATGACATCAGTCCCGCATATCGCTACATCTGGTTCACAAGTAAGCCCAAAAAACGGCATCACAGGACATTGTAGTTTCGATCGAAAAAGCTTCGAACATGAAGAACTGTGACCGATCTCTTCTTGCTAACTATCCAAATACGGCGTGTAGGCTCGGTGAGGCCAAAGCAAAACAAGTATCATGACTGCAGGATGTTACGGATGCTTGAGGTTAGTGGATAAGGCCTATCTAGAAGGAATCTCGGCGTGCCTAAGAATTTGAAATGTTTTCATGGGACTCCTTTGTCTCTCAAGGAATCGCTAACCAGAGGTTGCGATCATGGGTAACAAGGGGAGAAGAACGTCAGAAACTCACAATCTCAAAAGTCTGGGTATTTGGTTATCAAGATGATGTAAAGTTCATCGTGCGCGACAATGAAAATGTATGTATTGACGGGGAGATTAGGATAGTAGTAGATTAGGATAGTAGGAGAGTAGGATATTGCGCTGACAAGATTAGATACGTATCGATTGAAATCGCCGGAGAGTAGTAGATTACGATATTATTAGGATAGTAGTAGAGTAGGATAGTAGGATAGTAGGAGATTCCGCTGAACACATAGATACATATTGATCAGGATATTAGGATAGTAGGATAGTAGTAGACTAGAGTGGTAGGATAGTAGACATCTCGCTGGACACATCAGATGCATGTGGACTGAAATTGCTGGGAGTAGGAAGCGACCATGCAGCTCAATATCCTACTATCCTACACTACTATTCTACTATCCTAATCTCAGGAGTCGTGAATTATGAACGCACCCTAAGAGAACCATATCACGTATCGGGAGAGGTGCGTATCAGTCGGACCACATACCGATTCGAGCTGTTTATTCAGTACGAATTTCGGGAAAAATCCGGTCGATTTGCAGCGCTGAAGAAACACGAAGGATTGGGTGAGAATCACTTTTCGTTGTAACGATAGTGCTCCCCTTAATACGTGAAGCACGTTTGGAGGTATATTCTGTTGTGTGCTCCACCTTCGTCCTTCCTAAAGCTTTGGCATTTGCTCGGATGGTAGTGGATCCTTCTGTGTCAGACAGGTTTTAGTGAAATTTCCATTACCACTAGGCTTCTCCGAAGACATCTATGGAGTTAAAGGAATCTTCCACGGAAAAAGCTCCGCCCTCATTACCACAGAAAACGATACCTTAAAGGAATCTTCCACGGAAAGAGTGATCATTTTGTCTTGTGTGTAGGATTAGTATTATCGAAACTAACGCTTATGTTCCGTTCTTTTTGCTATGCTCATGAGGCTAGGGGCCTAAGGTATCGTTTTTCTGTGGTAATGGAGGCGGAGCTTTTTCCGTGGAAGATTCCTTTAGGTTATGGCTTCTCAGCAATGTGACGTAGTGCTTCGCAGGTTGTAAGGTTCCACTGGATCCCACCATCTAGTGAGCGCGGTTGCATGGAAGCTGGAATGACATACGTGGAATGAGTTGCTTTCTCTAACTTCCTCCCTCCCCTTCCCCTCTCAGTCCTGCCGTGCAAATGCCACGGCAGCACTATGTCGAATGACTGAGTGTTTGCTCAACTGGTACTTATATGGCCGTGTGAGTGTTACCACGCACGAGATTAACATAAAGAAGTATAGACAATCAAGCTTCAAGTTCTGTTATACTCGATATCGGTGAGTTGGGGTGGGCGTGTCACCGGAAGTGACGTGCACTTGATAGAAACTATGTGGATAAGCTGCTTCCAACATACATCGCTGGCTATCAGCTAAGCATACCCCGACTTTCGGATATCGACTGTAGCTGTTGGTCGACTCTGCCAGAAACCTTCATTTTGCGAAGGGACAGAGATAACAGTGCTCGCCGTAAGAAATCAAGGATTCGTGCGAATTCCGCGATTCCTCGTTAATTTCCGTGAATTCGTTATAACTCGGTTCAAAATTGAGCTTTTCAAAATCCGAAGATATCTTTGAATTCAGCTCGTCGTGGACTATAAGAATGGCTGCTTTCAAGTTCTGAAAAAACTTAATAATGGATTGCTACTTGCACTCGTGTTTTATGACGACACGTAAATGATTGGATGTGATGCCTACATGATCGCACTAGCAAAGTCTGATCGTTCTATAGAAAGAGGGACCTCAAGAATCGCGCCGCTCCTTGACTATGTGTGTCCGTCACGGCTAGGTAGCACACAGTGCGAGAGGGGGACGCGGGCTATGCTGTTGGGGGAGCAGTGCAGTGCGAGAGAGCAAGCGCCAGACGGTGCGAGAGAGCGTGCGACGGGAGAGAGTCGGGGTTGGAGGCGTAAGGGCGAGGGAGTGCGCGCTGTGGAGAACCGAGTTAGGCTAAGGTGATGGAGGTGACTCATGTGGAAGGGGGGGATGGTCGTGGTTGGCGCCCATTTCGAAAACGCCAACAGCAGAATGGAGCGCGCGGCAGCGTGCGTGGCCATTGGTATTTTATTTATCGGGCTGCCCACCAAATTAAATGTATGACCGACGGCAGTTAGTGCCAGCGGCCATGTTCTTTGAAGATCTTTCACAGTGTAAGTTTTACAGAAGTGTACTTGAAAATGCTTCTTCAAGGTTAAGCTTTCTTTGTTTTGATGTATGAAACGGCCTTTTTGAACACGGATCTCCTTTTTTGCAATCACGGGCCTTTTTTGCAATTAGCTAGCTCAATGGTACAACAATTGGCAAAAAAGAGATTTGTGTTCAACCTCATTTGTGGATTCTACAGTGGAAAATTGGAATTTTCCGAGAGCGTTCCTAAAGTTTCTCCTTTGCTGGAGGGAGATTTTTGCTTGATTCCAACAATTTCCGCTTTGAGTTGTCACCAGATGGGTAATCCGACAACCACCGGGACTCCCCATCCCTGCAAGCTTTGCGTTCCTCCTTCTCTCCTTATCCTCCCCTCCTCCCTCCATTGCTCTCCAGCTGCCACAGCAGCACCTTGTGGAATGACCGAAAGTGTGCTAAGTAGGTGTTTATATAGCCGTTGGGGTGTTATCACAATCATGCCATTGCAAAACATTGATAGGCAAGTCCTGCGAGCTACCCAGATTTGTTAGCGGCTTGTTTATTCCATTAGCTGCCTTATCACTCACTTCATTTTGCGGACGGACAGAC